CGCAATTTACTTGTTAATGAATAGCATCAAGTATTGTACTAATTTTCCAAAGATAATTTAAATAGAAGAAAAATCATTAGTTCATCTTAATCTTTCCTCCAAACTAGTAATACAAAATCTTTAAAACTTCAAAGGACCCTTTTAATCATTGATTGAATAAAAGCACATAATATATTATGAAATAAATCACAAGTTATAACTGGAAATTACTTTCATAAAAACACGATTAGATGTGCCAAAACATGATTGCCAATGTAATTAGAGGCATCTTAATCTGGTGTAGCAGCACCTTGGTTGAGCTCGGCAAATCTCATGCCAACACGCATTGAGTGCTTCAGGAACTTCTCAGCACAGCGGCGAACACAAGTCTCCTCTTGCTTGTCTAGAGATTTGCGTCGAAAGGTGTCTACACAATCAGTGAAACATCTTTCCACCAGTGAATTATACATCCTCAAACTGCCAAAAGAAAAAAGGAACATGTCAATGTTTCCAATTTCAGCATTGGAGCACAAGCAGTTGCAATTTATACTAAAACAGTCTCTCATGACATCGAGTCCAAATAAAAAGCTAATTCATTAGCATCCATGGTGAATAGGGATAGTAAGCACAACAGTTTTACCTTAGAGCTTAACTTAAAAAATTCAGTGTCAAGAAGAGGTCTTGAACGATTATAACTCAGACTATAGATAACAAAAGCAATAAATGCAAGACAGGGATAGTAAGCACAACAGTTTTACCCTAAGAGCTTAACTTAAAAAAATTAGTGTCAAGAAGAGGTCTTGAACGATTATAACTCAGACTACAGATAACAAAAGCAATAAATGCAAGACAATTATTTTGATAGGAAATGCAAGACAATTATGTATGAGTCCTCTTTGCATAAGCCTAATTTGGAGCTTGATTGTTTGGTCCCAATTTTATCCATCTTATGCCTTGATTTGTTATCTTATCATACAAAGTTGGCTAGGTTTTATTCACAAAAGACAAAAGTATGTGAATTCTTTCCTCCAATTAATGAAAGCCACGAATATGAAAACAAAAATAAAAATGATAGGCAGTACTATGTGAAAGCATTCCACAACATATCCAGTATAATCGTCTCAAGCCTTTATCCTCAGTCCTACTGCACTAACCTAAATCTCATTCACCAATATTTTCTACTCTATTGCAGCAACCATAATTATGTAAAATTTGCCTCAACATATTCAATTTTTCCACTCCCTGCCCCTGTTTGACAACCATTATTTGAAAATTCTTTTTTCTACGCTCTCATTTTTAACCGCACATTCACTCAATAAAATATACAGCACGTAAACCCAGATTTTTCCCCTTCTTTTTAACCACATATTCTCCTAAAAATCATTATTCAAATCATTGTATTCCCAAATAATGGTTGTCAAACAGGGGCCAAGTTTTGTGAACAATAAACCGTGACTATGTTCAAAAATTTCTTCCACTGCATGGTGCCTACTCTAAATCAAGCTAAAGGTCTTGCAGCTAACTATAATAATGACAGAAACCAACAAGAATGAGTTGTGAAGGCAAATTTAAATATTCTGGCAAAGCTAGCAGTTAAAAGGTGCCATAAATTTTATAGAAAAGCCCATACATGACCAACAGAAGATGCCCATGCAAGTTCAGTTCATCGAACCACGAACTAATGTTTTTAGCTCAAGTCTGGATCTTACATTGAAGCAACAATTATGGTTAATAATGTTTAAATCAAAGTGAACTACTAGTTAAGAATCAAATGGTGAACTGCAGTTACAAATGCACCATGCTGAGTTAGTTTAACAATTCTAATATCCTTTTTTACTTCCAGATCTCAAACTAATAGGAAAATTGCAGGCGAGGCTGCCAACGTTTAGGGTCATTGGTACTTGGGTTTTCAACCCCTTTTGTCATTTGGTTCCCAATCTTCAATTTTTCATAGCAAAAGATATCCTTCTAAACAGTTTCCATGCACATAATCAGTTTAATTGAATGAAAGGACAAAATTTTCCCCTCATGTTCAAATAAGCAAAAAATATAAAAAGAAAAAAAACATACTGCACCCTACACTTCATCCCCTCTAAGATTTTCTGCTTCCAATGTTTGGATGCATAATTCATCCTGAAGCTCGTGCCAAAGTCCATGTAACATTTATGATAGTTTCTTTGACATCTCACAAATGTTCGTATGCATATCAAATAAAAATTGATTGGTCAGTTAGATAACAAGTCCATGTGATTAGAACGTGGTTGACAACAAAGCAATTTAAACTACATTAGAATTTTGTAGGATTATGAGTCAGAATAAGATCCTTGAAGACTAAGACTAGAATGGAATTCAACGAACCTAATATCAGCCTTTCTAGTTAACAAAATCTAATAAAAATTCTACTTATGACAAGACCAATATGATACACTACTTATCCAACACTTCCCAAACATGCTTTAAGAAATAAATTAAAAAACGCAAGAAATAGCAGAAATAAATATTTCCAAATTCTAAAACCCAACCAAACGTTTGACATTCAACTGCGACAATCCAATAATTACAGATCACTGAATCCAGCTGAAAACATTTTTCAGCTTTTTCTTAAAGCTTCAATTTTTAGGAGCACCGTAGTTTTGATATAAAGTTCTAAACAGCTACAATGATTCAATTCAGAAAAGAAAAAAAAAACAAAAAAACAAAATGTATATGTATACATAAATCACTCAAATCTACTGAACATTTTGTACACCATTTTCTAAAGATTCAATTCAAATAAATTTATAATCGAATATTTATACACACGTATACGTACGGCACATGTATACCTGTCACGGATTTGGAGCTGGTCAATCATAGAGGACATCCGTAGCTTATCTTCCTCGGGCAGAGAATCCAAGTCTCCAAGCATGCTCTTGTCCATCTTCAGTTGATTGTACGAATTGTTATGCTCCAAATACTACTGATGTAAAGTCAACTCTCTAAACCCTAATGAGGTTTGGGGCGATAGTTGACACTTGACATAGATGAGAACGAAAATACGGAGGGCCTGCGCACAGCTGAAAATTCTAGGCCGATTTGGGCCAAGACTTGGCTCAACGACAGATGGGCTGGTCTATTTGGCATTAATATGGATTAGAAAAAATTCATAAATAAGGTGTTTACTTTACACAAATTCAAAAATCAGGTTTATAGTTTGAAAATTCAAAAATCAAGTTTTTTTTTGTTTTTTAAATAATATAATTAACCCACCCCACTTGCACCACCCCTATTGCTCCGGGACTATTCCGACGACTATTCCGACCACCACTTTTTTCCAGCGATCGTTCCAACGACCATTCCGACCACCACTCTTCTCCGACAACTTTTCCTGCGACTGGTCACATATTCATAATTATAAGTCACAGATTTATTTACTGGTCACATATCGTCAAATTAATTGGTCACAAATTATTTCATGATCACAGATAAAAAATTTTGCAGGTCACATATTATTTCGAGGTCACATATCATTCAAATTACAGGTCACATTTTTTTTATAGGTCACATAAGTTACAATTTCTTGGTCACAAATTACTTTTCGTCACAGACACCTAATATATAGTCACAAATCAGCCAAATTGTTGGTTACAGACGATTAAATAGTTGGTCAGTTGGTCATAGACGATTAAATAGTTGGTCAAAGACGATTAAATAGTTGGCCACAGACACCCCCACCCGTCACAGCCATATCCACCACCATCACGACAACATCCAGATCCGCCACAACCACCATCTGCAAAAATATCCAACCCAAACACCATCACCATCACCCAACACAGCCGACCCACACCCCCCCACAGACAATCCACCAACACAGTTGATCCCAACAGCTGACCAACACACCAACAGCGACATGACCCACACACTACAACCAACCCACTCACCTCGACGCTAGCAGCAGCGACCCACACCACAGACGCTAACAGCGCCGCCGTTGCGATTCACAGCAGCAGCACTTCGAATCGCTGCTGCGATTCACAGCAGCAGGCATTGCTGCGACGAATCGCAGCAGCGATGTAACTGCTGTGACTCGCAGCTGTGAATCGCAGTAGCGATTCACAGCAGCGTCGAGGAGCTGCTCAACGCTGATAAGGAGGTTACAGAGAGAGGGGGAGGGAGGTGAGGGAAATTGAGTGATAAATTAGGGTTAGGTCTTATTATATAGTACCTGATTTTTGAATGATAAAACTTAGTCCCTGATTTTTGAATTTCAAACTTTAAGCACCCTGAGTTTTTATAATTTCCCATATGGATCGGTATTGGCCTCGAACGAGATTGCGGGCCTTGAATGTCAGGGAAATTTACATTTCACACCCTTACATTTTGCGTACTCATTTTCTAAAATTTACAATTTACATCTGATATTTTACAACTTGTAACAAAATACATATTCTGCTTTCTCAATGGTTTGTCTGGGTCTGTCATTCCAGAATCAAAGGCTTTTGCATTTCCAGTGTGGGGATTGAAAAAGGGTTACGTAGTTAGGACAAGAACAAGTATCGAGAATATTAGAACGTTTACAGTTTCTTTCCTTAATTCGAAGAGGACAATAAGGAACATTTATCATATGCTAATAAAGTACGCACCGCACTTGGAATACGATGACACGAGACATGAAAACAACTAGTCTATGGATTCTTTTTGTTCTTTAACTCCCCCGTCCTTTAAAATTATAAGTTTTACCGGCAGGAGGTTAGGTCATATGTTTGCCTTCCTAGTCTTTACTACATGATAAAAAGCCCAAGAACAAGCTTCTACGTTTTCCAAACAAAATTATCTGCTGGGAAAAAAAGTGTCAATTAAATGCAATACTATAAACATGTAACACGTTACAGTGCAGTCAATAGGATTTCCTTTTACAATCACATGAACTGCAGCTTATACCCATAATTTACCTTCTTTTTAAGAAGTATTAAAGTGAAGAAAATGGTAAACAACGAACAAACCAGAACATCAAAGAATGAGCAGATTAAACGTTACTATTATGAGAAGATCTGTCTACGCCGAATTGGTTTGGTCTTCAGACCAGCTACTGCGCCAACCACAACCTCGTCAACAAAATCTTTGAAGATTAAGCGCTCAACATCCACGACAACACCAGAAATTTCACCGTTGAAATTAATCCAAGTTTCTGATTGATGCATCAAATCTTCAAATAAGATATTTTTCAGTCCGTCGTCCTCTTCATCAAAGCTGCATTTTGAAATTTTCTTTTGAAGTTCTTCGATCTCAGAGCACAATTCTTTGAGAAGCTTTTGTGCATTCAAGGTCTTCCCTGCCAGCTTATTCGGTCTCAACCAATGTTCGGAGAAGGGTCCGACCAAAGTGAATTTTCTTGCAAGAATCTCGTTTACAACATCAAAGAAGAGTTTCCGATGAAATTTCTCCTTGGTAAGCAATTGTGCTGTCTTTTCGGCACTACATTCTTCCTTGTGTAAACTGCTTGCCTTAGTTTGTTCCAAGACCAGAAATAACTCAGGATTGATAGGATGTCCCGACGGATGAAACTGGAAATTTGTCAGGCTCGAACCAAGGTCTTTGAGGAGGAGACCTGAAGCTAATAAAATCTCGGAAATGTATCTATGGTTGGGGTCCGGGTTCTCACAGAGAGAGGCAATGTAATCTGTATGTGCTTCATCATGGCTCGAGTTAAGCCTTCTAAGCTTCTGAACTAAGTTTTCGATGTCCTGTAGTTTCTTTCCGTTAACTTGAGAGGCAGAACCGGATCTCTTGGAGTTCGGTATGAAATTTGCTGAACTGCCTACCACTGTGTTTAAAATTCTATCAGAGTCGATGGATTCATCCCCTGGAATTAAATGTATAGAATCAGAGCAGTACTTTTATTCATCGAAAGAAATTGGACAGATGATAAAGATGAAGATATAACATCACTCTTCAAAAGGAAAACTCTGAATCAATTTGTAGTGCACTTTAACATAGCTAGCCATGAAAAGTGCATATCGTCTTGTAGGTAGACTGCATATGTTCCAAAATCTCTTTGAGCGGTCATTGAAACTTCTATCAGACCTTTGGAGTGATATGTGATTGTACTAATTTAATTCGGCTCCAATTATTTTATATCTTAATTCCTAAAGTCATATTCATATGAAATATTTGTCCATGATGTTTACCTTTCAAAAATAAAAAATATGGCTATCCTTAACATCGTAAGGGAAGAAAAACAAAAAGTACAAAACACATATAAGATATTAAACTATTATATGTATAAACTATAGAAACCCGTCACACAATTTGAGTTTAACATTCATCAGAGGATAGCATTACCTTTAAAGGTCTTCCCTACGTGCTTTACGGGTGAAGGTGAATCATCTGTGGACACGTTGTTGTCAAGAACAGAGACGGGGCTGGGGTACTCAGGAGGAGCACCAGCCTCAGCCTGTTCTTTTTCACTCACCATCCGGTTGGATTTCTGAAACAAACCGTGAAATGTGTTACCAATTGACTAAGAGAACAAATTAGATACATAATCTAGAAAACACAAACCTTCTCTACTACTCCAGATATCAAGAACTCAGCAGACATTATTATGTCCGGAGAACTTTCATCAAAACTATTGACTTCCACATTCTTGGAACCTAATATGATACCCCTATTGGATTGGACAGAAATTTCATTCTTCTGGATATTCAAATTTCTCAAGTTGCTGCTGCCCTCAATCAGGCGGTCATCCTTTTGCAGTGAGTTGGGATGGTTTGGCCTGCGTAGGCCACCAGAGGAGCTCGACTCTTCTTGTTTATTGTTTGACTGTCTTCTCGATTTTATTGAATCAGAAGGCATGAGTGGCTTAGACCTCTTTTCCAGCTCTAGTTTCTTATGTTGCATTCTTGGGCTAATGGATTCTGAACTCTTTCTAAATCCCGATGTGCTTTCTTTATGTAGCTGTTGGGATCTTTCTGAAGCGTGTGCCGTAATTAAATTTCTGCTGTCTGTTCTCATGTGGACATGGTTAACAGAATTTTCTCGGTTTCTTTCTTTAAAAATCTGGTCTTTAGCAGCTCTTCCGTTACTTAAACCCTTTCTGTTATCAATGAACTCACCACCCTGAAGTTTGGGTAGACCAGAAAAGCCATCCAGTGAAATTACAGAAGAAGCAGGCATGTCAGTTTTTTGAACAAGTTTTGCTGGTTTCATGATTATTATTGGAGATTCAAAATGTCTCAGAGAATTGGCCCTCTTTTGGGAGGATGAAAGAACTCGATCAGTTTGAAGCTTTCTGCTGTTTACTGTTCTTGCATCCTGTCTGGAACTCGTATACGTTTGCTCGTGGTCATTCAGAGATGTGAAATTATAATCTTGTCCTTCCTTTTGGGTTTCTAATAGTCCCTTGGCCTGCATTGCTTCCAGTATCTGTTTAAGTGCTCTCAGGTCCTTTCCAGAATGTGCAAATTCAAGATCTTTCAACCTCTTCTCTATCTCACTGTAAACAGAAGGAAAGATGTTTGGTGCCCTCGCTGAACCTCTCGTACTTCTAGAGGCTGGTTTCCGAGTAAGCCTTGTCATATCAATCTGCTTCTTTGGTGCTGATTCAATTGAAAATCGGGATATATGTTTCATGACAGAATCAGGATTTCTCCCATGTGGTGAACTAGGCTCTTTCCATAACTTTGAGGAACTAGACAGTTGGATTGGTTTCAATGAATCCATTTCCTCAGATGACCTTGAAAAGTTAACAAATTCTTCAACCGGATAAGTTCTCCCGGAGCTGGAGTTGGTACTGCCAGCTACAACAGAATCAGGCAGGGTTTCTAAACCCATCAGCTTTGCTACAACACTTGTCTGCCGTGCCTGGTTTCCTGATGTTTGTTGCAAACTCTGAACCTTACCGTTAAACTCACCACTATCCTTGTGCAAAGTTTTGAAGTGAAAGATGGATTTCGAATTAGCATTTGAATTCTTCAGTGAACCCTCTCTGCTGTCTAATGAAAGTCTTGGAAGATCTTTAAGCTTTTGGGTAGATTTGGAAATGTCCCGTGATTCAAAGGGTACGTAACTTATTTCCCTTCCATCAGAAGAAAACCTAGGGGCATCTTTTGAAATCGAAAACGAAGAACCATCTTTTGAGTGGAAGGATGGTGATCTTAAAAGTTCTCGCGGTTCATTATGATACCAAGGTGCTTCTCGAAATTTAGCTGAGTCTTGAGAACCATCTGTATTTCTTGGTAGTTGCCGCGGGAAATCCTTGAACTTCACCATAAGATCTGGTGCCTCCTCAAAGGTTTTGGTTTTCACTGATAAACCCTGAACTTCCCTGTAAATGGAGTCCTTCACGACATCCCGAAGATCAAGTGCTTGTCGATTAAATTTTGGAGATGAATTTTGCATGTTCACTGCTGGATTTCTTGAAGGAGTTTCAGGAAAAATCATGCGGTCTAAGGACACAGGTTCTAATTGATTGGTTTGGTTACAGTCTATAGAAGAGAAAGAAGATGAACGTGAAGATGAGAATGAGGCCCTGGACAATTCTGTGGAGACTCTTTGTCTCTCTTGTATGTTATTGGTCAAATACTTTTCCTGCCATATCAAATGACAAAAAGTAAAATTCTCAACAAATAAGTACATCAGTAAACTTTGCAGTTAGATTCAAAATGGCATTTGGATACGTTATAAAAACAGTCAAAATCACAACCTCGTCTAAAAAGCTTAAGTTAACTAAGACGTAGCAAGTTATTTACATCTTCAACACGTTCCCAATTTTTAGGTCTTCCGCGTAGAGAACGTGCACTTACCAACCTACATGATCTATTTAACCTCAACATCACCATTACCTTCATGGATGTTTGTTACAAGGTATTATAGAACTGAATAGCATTATAGACAAGATATTAATTTTTTTTTTCCTTTTTAATGATGTCAATACTACAAAACTTTATCTACCGAACAAGCAATTAAAGTTCAAGCTTGTAGGAAACTGAGCAGATAATTTGGAGTTTGGACACCTTAAAAATATGAATTATATCCAATTATCTATAATATATTAAATATCATGTCAAAGTGAGAACCATATTTTGGACGATTTTAAACCTACTACAATTGAATTACTTCAATAATACATTACTTTTCGTTTTTCAATATGTAATAAATACTATAAAATCCTTGTTTTGTATGAATTTTGTGTTATTAATTTTCAATTAATTAACATTCACATTAATCTAGATTTAATGAATCTTGACTTTATGAATCTTGATCTACATAAACCTAGAGTTATTATAGATGAATTTATTCTTATTCATGTATCTAGGAATTTTAATGGGTGTTTAAATTCATATATTATCAATTAATTCTTATGTACCAAATGTAGTATAAAAATGTTACTCATTTGTAGTATTTTATTATCGCAAAAAATTTGAATCATAAAAGTTGAGTTTTGAACTAAAATTTTCTTATCTTAAATCTATCATAAATTTTATTTTCTTTAGTTCGTTTGAAACTTATCAAATCCTCCCAACAAATTGATATCAAATATTACTTTTACGGTACTTATAAAGTATTTAAGATAACGTGCAATGTACGTTCAACTCTGACGGGTGTATCCAGATATCAGGAAACAAGAGAATGATCCTTGTTTTTTTCACTGACCAGCAGAATTGCTCCCTGAGGTTTGAGAATACACTTTTGGGTCATAGTTTTCAAAACCCTATAGATTATAACCCTTCCACAAAAATGTCAATGGCGTAAACTTTTTCTTCCAAATGTCCGATATATTCAAACCAAAAAAATAACACAACAAAACTGTAAATCGCTCCATAAGAGAAAATCTAATATTTGTGAGATTTTGTACTGTAAGGTTCTGTTTTCATATCGTGGGAGGGCATTAGGGTGGGTTTTAAAGACCACCTAGTGGGGTGACCCGGGGTGGTTGAAAAATCTATGCACTTTGGGACTCGGATACCTTGGCAATAAGCATTTAAATGGGGAAAAATAAGCTTACAAATTTTAAAACTTTAGTCTTGTTGACTTGGTTAATAAAGACTTTGTTTCCACAAATAAACATTTTCATCTCTGTCCTTGAAGCACAGCGTTAAGTGGATTCACAAGACTGATGTTTCCACAAGAGATAAAACTAGAAATAAACATTTCATACCACTGGCACTGATCTTCGTTCTGCAGTGTTAGAGTCTGTTTCCAAATTGTCATTATGGAAGTGGGATTTTCCTGCAAAATATCAGCAACATTTGATCCTGATATATGGGTTCCTATTAGGCTATGAAAAGCAGGGATATTAAGGTTGTAAAGAAATTAAATTAAGCAAAATTGCAAGCATATATGAAATAATAAACAAAGGTTGTGAACAGAACAAAAGCAATACACTTGACATATTGTTTCAACCAAGAAATGGCCAGAAATTGCACCTCATGGGCACTCTTAGATATTTGAATTATTTACAAGGAGACTAAACACAATGCATCATATTCATATGGCTTATATATCGTGAACTTAAAAGGTGGCAATGAAATATGTTGAACCTCCTCATCTCGTTTAAAAGCTTAAATAGTAAGAGATGAAATGCATTTTATTTATTTAAATTTAATCTACAACAAATCCATTTTGAAGAATCGACACAAACTTAGTTCCAGTAGTAAACTGTCTACAGCATCTCTAAGAAACACATTAAAACAATACATTCATCAACAAGATTATTGATCATGAACAATACTAAGCAATGAGCATATTTACCAGGAGGCAGCCTCTTTGAGCTGTGGCCAACAATACGCCTCCCAGTAAGAATAGGTTGGCGATCAAACAGTTGAAAAATGCCCATCATACATCCTACTTGCTTTTGCAAATCTGGATTATCATCTGTCAAAGAATGTAAAATCTTGGCAGCCATTTTCAATCCGCTCTCTTCAATCAAATTATCAAAAACCCAAATATCTTATAAATCCTGACACTTTTCGTATACCCAATTTCCAAATACACTAGCGTTTTCTTCTTCTATAATTCTATGACCACCCTTCCAAGCTACACACACTGAAAATTCTAAATTACCAATGCAAATGCACAAAATTCTTTCAACAGCCCTCAGATGCCACGAAAATGAAACAATCCAGGTTCTGCCGTTCTGGTAATTTTGTTTAAAAATTTCAAGCAGCAGAAATTGACACAATCTCTCCCCCTTCCATATTTACATAATCCAACACAAAATTCCCCTTAATTTCACCTCCTTTAGCTAATTACGAGGCCAGAATCAATTAGTACAAAAATCTCTCAATAGCCCACACATCAAGATTCCCGTTTTGCAGTAGAAACCACCAGAATCACAAAGATTAAAGTAAAACAGGAAAGTCCGGGAATTTAAATCAATTCTTTTGAGTAAACAGGAAAACCCAGAAAAAAAAAATCAATTCTCTTAGTAAACAAGAAAGCTCAGAAACAAAATCAATTATTTTGAGTAACAGCATAACCCAGAAAACAAATTCAGTTCTTCAGTAAGGGAACGAGAGCCAAAAGAACAAAAGGAAAGCCCCAACAATAACACACAAAATCAATCAAGAAACTATAAAGAATGCACATCAGCAAAAGGAATCTTTACAAACCAGCCCACAAGAGCTTGCAAGGTTGGTGGTTCAATGTATCAAATATGCACCATGTGTAACCATAGTATGTGTAACTATATCAAATTTGGAGAATATAATGTAGTTTATTTCCCACAATCACTAGGGAGATGGGGCTAGTGGGGTGGTGTGAGTGGGGTCAGGTCTTCTGCAGGCCTATTCTCACACCTCCATGTGGAAGGTTATCAGGGTGGCCTGGGTGGGTCTTAAACAATCTGCATTAGCACGTGAATTTTGTCAGTCAGTTTAATTCCCATCGTTATGGGAGAGAGAAGAGATTCAGATACCATTGAAATATTTTTATAGACCACTTTAATTATTTCATTTTTGAGAAATTTGTATAGTTAATCCTCAACTTTAGAATTTGTAGCAACTCCATCCCTGTTCTTTAAATCTTAACGTTTAATTCTCAATTATTTAATTATGTTGCAACATTAATCATTCCAAGTTACCAAACATTTTTCTTTTAAATTAATATATATTTATTTGAGTTATATTGTTGTCAATCAATTAATATATCGATTGGCCATTTTAAAAATAAGAAAGAAAGACATGACAAAAAATATGTATTTTTTCCTACAATTGAATGGTTCCATTTCGATTCATATTAAGATTCGAGTTTATGTTAAAAGCGTAATAATCTATTTAAATAAGAATATTCATTGACCCTCGAATAAGTATAATGAAGTTTGATTTTAATAATAATTTTTTTAACTACATAAATTAAAGCTTATAACATACTTGGTTTAGCTTTACTTTTTATGAAATTGGAATATTACAACCCTTTTCACCTTTATTTATTATTTATAATTAAGTGTCTTTTAATTACCTTTTAGTTATAATTGTTGCCTTTTGATATTTCTTAAGAGATTAGGGATTTCGAGTACAACTTTAATCAACTTAGCTATTAGTTTTTTTTCTTTATTACTAGCTTTATGTTTTTTTTTTTTTTTTGGGGATTATTATTTTAATAAACAAAACAACAGAATTTGTCGTTCTTTTCCAATTTTTTTTCAGTTCAGATGATCGATTTTCGCTAGAATCAACATTTTTTTAGCCCCTGTTTGGACTCTAGTATTCCACATTAAAAGGAGAAGAACAATAATTTTTTGGAAAATGTGTGGCTAAAAAAGAAGGGAATTTTTTTAGATTTACGTGTAATATTATTTTATTGAAAAATGCATGATTGATAAAAAGAGAGAAAAATAAATCTTAGCCTGAGTTTGGTAACCATTTTTACCATAAAAATACATTTTTCCTATCAAATCAGCGGGACCCGCCTATGATTATGCACTAACTGCAGGAATTCCAATTTAACGGGCTGCCCTTACTGTAGTTAATAATGCATTTTGAATAAGGGCTCATTGGTCATTTTAGTCCTTGTTTGGTCAAAAAAGTATGTCTCCCTCCTGCCACTTGTACTGCATACCCTGTCAATGGAACTGCATAACGTCTATAATTTTTCTACTATTTGGATGAAAATGATTACCAAATGCAGGCTTAATTTAATGAGATAGGGTCGGTAATTTGGTCTAGACATCCCCACACACTCCAACAACAGCTGGGATAAGTGAGACAAGTAAAAATCTTGTTGGTGTACGAGGGTTCTTTAGAAATATATGTTGTTTCTTAGTTAGAGAACGTGTAGGAATTGTAAATACACAATTTCCTTTTTATTACAGTATGTCATGTGGAATCACATGAAGCAAGCAAGAAAACCGGCTGTTAAATTATATATTAGATCCAATGGTTCGATGGACGGATTTATGATTGGGCTAAAAAAATTTCAAGTTGGACTAATATGTAAAAATAATAATAATAATAATTTACTCATAATTAAATATTATTTCCATATAATTTTTTTTTTTTACCCATCAAAATGAAATGGGTTGGCGGACTGCGCCCGTCCAATTCATTTTGAATCCTTCTAAATTCTAAATCCACCAACCCTAACCTCGCTCGGAATTTAAAGACGTCAAAATAAGTAATGATACCTATCTACATTGTCGAGGACCAATTGTCTAGAAAACATGATATCGTAGGCTCATGTTTGAGTCACATTCTCATTCTTCTACTCATTTTCAATCACACATTTTTCAATAAAATAATATTTTCTATCACATCAATAACTTCTCCTTCTTTTTCAACCACACATTCTCCATCAAACTACTATTCCAAAATTGAATAAGGGCTCATTGGTCATTTTAATCCTTGTTTGGTCAAAAAAGTATGTCTCCCTCTTGCCACTTGTACTGCATACCCTGTCAATGGAACTGCATAACGTCTATAATTTTTCTACTATTTGGATGAAAATGATTACTAAACGCAGGCTTAATTTAATGAGATAGGGTCGGTAATTTGGTCTAGACATCCCCACACACCCCAACAACAGCTGGGATAAGTGAGACAAGTAAAAATCTTGTTGGTGTACGAGGGTTCCTTAGAAATATATGTTGTTTCTTAGTTAGAGAATGTGTAGGAATTGTAAATACACAATTTCCTTTTTATTACAGTATGTCATGTGGAATCACATGAAGCGAGCAAGAAAACCGGCTGTTAGATCCAATGGTTCGATGGACGGATTTATGATTGGGCTAAAAAAATTTCAAGTTGAACTAATATGTAAAAATAATAATAATAATAATTTACTCATAATTAAATATTATTTCCATATAATTTTTTTTTTTTTTACCCATCAAAATGAAATGGGTTGGCGGACTGCGCCCGTCCAATTCATTTTGAATCCTTCTAAATTCTAAATCCACCAACCCTAACCTCGCTTGGAATTTAAAGACGTCAAAATAAGTAATGATACCTATCTACATTGTCGAGGACCAATTGTCTAGAAAACATTAATTGATATGATATCGTAGGCTCATGTTTGAGCCACATTCTCATTCTTCTACTCATTTTCAATCACACATTCTTCAATAAAATAATATTTTCTATCACATCAATAACTTCTCCTTATTTTTCAACCACACAGTCTCCATCAAACTACTATTACAAAATACATTCTTTCAAAATAATGTGGCTCAAACACTAATGTAGAAACATCAATCAACCACACAGTCTCCATCAAACTACTATTACAAAATACATTCTTTCAAAATAATGTGGCTCAAACAATAATGTAGAAACATCAATTATTTAGTTTAATTGTAATCAGCTGCATAATGTTTAAGTATATAGAATCATTCATTTACAACCGAGAGTCGAAATTGACTAATTTTATATAAACAACAATCATACCATTATTAAGGGAGTATTTGACACTCATTTTAATGGGTTGAAAAATTTTGGAATAGTGATTGATTGGAGAATGTGTGGTAGAAAAGTGATGAAAAGTTTTAGATTTTTGTGTAATATTATTTTATTTGGAAATTGTGTGGTTGAAATGAAAAAAGAGAATGAGAATGAGTGTCAAACAGGGGCTAAATTACTTAATTTGTTAGCATCTTATTCTTATCAATGTAACGCAACAATTTATACAATATACTTACTTGCATGTATACATACTATATGGTGATATATACGTACATATACACAAGTAATCACCACAGCATAAAGTAAAGGATCCCACAAGATTTCTTGAACTCATATAGAGAAATTGCAATATCGGTCCCCAACCTATTACTCCGGTGGTAATTTGATCTCCCCATCTTTAAAAATAACAAATTGGTCTCCATTTATTTTTTATAGTGGAATATTCAATCTCGAAATATGCAAATTTCTTTTGTATTATCATGTGACATTTGTATATCCATCTTTATTTTACTCACATTTTAAGTTGACTTTCAATAACTGAGGATTTCTTTCGCAACCAACCTGCTTCTTTGCAATCAATGGTCATCGAATTGATAGCATTCCCAAATATTTTAGGCACTAAACGCTATGCTAGCAACATGATGCATGCATAGGTTGCTACTTTTTACTTTTTAGCAAGGAAAAAATCAAAATGTAAAGGGACAAGATTGCAAGATTATTATCAAGGTGGGATCAACTATTCATGGTTCATCCAATCAACAATGCAGTACCATCATGAAACATGTGAAAAATAGAGGGTGCATGGGGTTGCTATTCAATGCATCTTCACATAAATCTCAAAGTATGGATAACTCATTTTGCTTGTTTCCTTTCTTATCTTTCCTCCATTTCTTTTTCATTTATGTTCCTTTCTTTTGCACCCTTCTCTCAAGGAGTGGGGTCGTTCTTATATTGGTTAGTGATCATCCACCTAGAGACGATAATGATGTAATAGGGAATCGATAGAGAG